CGAAATTGTTTTTGAATTTCTGTTTTTCTATTATTAACTATTTCTTTCTCATTCTCATTCCTGATTTGCCATTTCTTAACATCCAGTCGATATGACACATGGAGTAGACACTCGAAGCATCTAATCCATGTATGTAATACAGATAATCCAAATTCATATTTCGAAACATCTGCATTTTCTGATGCTTGTTTCATGTTTATTGCATTCATCATTTTTGGCGTAGCACCACATATGTAGCATCTTTGAGATGCAGTTCCAGTTAAACTGTTGCAGATTTTTGTGTCCACCATTGTAAATAATAAACGATGTTGTATTATAATACGTATTTCTCCGATTTTAATTATTGTTGGGACTAAGTTTTCTATTTGATTGTCAATTTTCATTTTTTCCGTGTTAATTAATTCTACAGATTCTTTTGCGAATATTAATTTTATTGGTCTGCAGTATCGTGTGGATGATGGTTGAGGATTTTTCCAAACGATTTGTATTCCATCTGTTAACTTTAACGGAACCATTGAAACAAGAAATAAATCATTGTCCTCGCGAAAATTGATGTCTGCAGTATTAATTTTTTGCTTGTAGATGCTATGGCCCGAACTACCATCGCATCCCCATTTATAAAATAACGTTAATGTTTCTTCGGTTTCAATGTTATTAAGTATTTCTTGATGTGCTAGAATTAAACGTGTGCATGTATGATCCAAAAGAGCCTGTAATTCTATTTCTGCTGTAGTCTCTGTGATGGTGATTGATTCTTTGCGCGGATAGCAATTTTTTTTAGCTTGTGCTACCTTAAAATAACTAGGATATATCTTTGCGTTTCTTTGCTTTGCTTGCGAATATATTAAACGATATTGATGGGACGTCATTTTTGCATCTACGTATAATGCTAGTGCTTCCTCAGGAGTATATGGTATTATTTCTTTTTGTGGTAAATTGTAATTTTTTTTTACTTTGCTGACTCCTTCTGGAGAAGTCGTAATTTTTTTCAAAATCGTAGCTGCATCTCTTTTTCCTTTTTTACGCAAGCTGATTTCCGCCGCAAAACATAATTCTTCACTAGACGCCATATCTAAAATATTTTGAACTTTTCGTTTTTTACTTTTTTCACTGCTGTCTTCAAAATTTTTTGTAGGACGACCAACAAGTGTTGTAGGTTCTACTGCTGATCCAGACGTGCTTGGTGTATTAACAATTAGATCTGCAAAATTAATATTTCCACGTAACCATTTCTCTTCATTCCTTAAAAATGCATGGTATGTGCGTTTATTTAACTTCCACTTGCTAACTAACTGAGAACACAAGGATTTAACACTTTTCTTGATTAAACCTACACTATTTTGTTCAGATATTTCCCCCAAAACATTTAAAATGTACTTCAAAACATTTTCCCGTCTTTTCGATAAATCTTCCTCGTGTCTCCAAATCTCAAAGAGATCTCTTCGAGAAATAATCCATGCTACAATAGATTAAATAATGATTACTTGATATTTTTGAAATACTATACGACTTTTGGGTATATATTACTACAATACATGATACATTCTACAGTACTGTATATATGTACGATTATATAGAATATACAAAATATAATATAATATGTATAGAATATACATGTGTAAACTTACCGTTGGTACCCATGATATTTATAAAAATAGGATAATAAAAACAAAAAGAAAAAACTTTATAATAATGAAAACGAGAAACCACACAAGAGAATATTATTGCACGCTGTTCACTGCTAGACTGAAAAAATCCGTTAAAAAATATGAACGTAGACTGTATGAAACTTGTCATTGTTTATTTCTTTATATATACAATTGATATTATTGGAATACACATGTATACATATACATTGTCAAACGTGCTCCTATTCCCTAAATGCAAGTGGCGAGCGTTCCGCTGAGGTTCATGTGTTTCACGGAGCAACCACACCGCTTAATAAAAATTGAAATATTTTTACGTACGGCACCTCTCGGCACCTAAAATTGATAAGATCTTGTAGCTAATGAATCATAGAATACATTACTACAACAAATAATACCAACCAGCATCAACCGCATTTTGTAGATCTACGTAAATTCATTTTCTTTTAACGGTATAGAAATTATTTTCATAAAAGTAAGACAGTAAAAAATAAATTTATTGAAAAATAATAAAACATTCTATTATTACATCTGAAAATACAGTCTTTTGTGAATAATATTTGACAAAAAATACAACATTATTCGATTAATAGACTTTAACACACAACATTTCTTGTAATACATAATTTAGGCTTACGTCAGCCTATAAAATAGACCTATAGAATCGGTAACTTTGGATAGGTGTCACGGTCATTATACTTCGTGAAATTAATTTATAAGCGTAATTTTCCTGGTTCTAGACCTTTTTCAACAACCTCTAGTGAAAATTACAAAATTCTGTGATAGTCACTAAAATGACTTTTGTCCAGCTAGATTGGCGATCCGTGACACTGTGCAACGGTCTCAAGTCGCAGTATTATACAACAATACTTGTTTGTTTCGCTACTGATATATTTGAATAAATCCTTCCCAATAAATAATTCGACGATGTTCTCGACGCTCTGTGCTTCTTCGGGAAAAACGTTTGGGCCCGGAAACCCTTCAAATTCCTCATTGGTCCTCGGTAAATCGGTATCTGAGCACGGTACACTATAGTCTTCTTCTGATTCATCAGAATCACTTGGCAACCTTGCCGTTCGCCGAATTCTTCTTGTAAGAACATCACTGTGTGAAGATTCTGCTTCACTTTCATTTGTAGGATCTGCGATAAATAACAGTGTCTTCTCCTTCGTCTGCCATGATAAATGGGTACAAGTACTCATAAAAAAAACACTCGCTGACATATCTAACTTATTTCACGTAAAGCTGTACAGTTTTATGCTAAAAATACTCTACCTAGAACAAAAGCAACAACAGAACCCCACAGATCATCAAGAGAATGATAAGGATACTAAAGTGTTGTCGTCAGCCACTGGGCGATATCGTGCACACGACATCATTGCAGTGCCACCGGCCGTCAGGCAATACTTTGCGAAGGTCACCACTGTGGTGTCGCTGGACGTCATAGTGTTAAATTCCCGGCTGCCGTCACAGCTACAATACGTTGAAATTATCAATAGAGAAGTACACAAAGTTAATAATCGGTCGCAGTGCTATTGCCTGCAGAAACAGTAGAAAAGCGTCGATCGCATACTAGCGCGTAAGAAGTAACACGGACGCACACGAACAGGCAGAATTTAATGTATTAGTTTCGACAGTTTTTCGAAAATATCTCGAAAACTAAGGCCGAGCGGCGGTTATATGTATAGAAAAAAGTTGTTCAAAATGTTGATTTCTACAACGTATTTAAAAAGCATCGAAATCGGAGTTGCTGTCCGTAATCTAAGTAATTACCGAAGGATTTTTGGCGACTCAAAGACTAAGGCCGGTATTCACAGTCGCAATTTATTTCTAAGCTGGTCTTAAGCATATGCTTAAGACATCGGTTAGATTCACAGTCGCCGAATAAGCAACGTCTTAAGCATCAGCTTAAGCATTTGCTTAGAAAAGTAAATGCTTATTGGTGTAGATTCACAGTCGATGCTTAAGGGGGTAGATACGGCACGTGACCTCTCCGATTTGGGACGTCGGTATTACAGCAGTTTTTTCGTTGGGCCTGGTGGAGCCACTTGCGTGGTCTGGTACGAACTTGAAAGGTTTAATTCTCAACTAGCGTGCGCGCAACACGATCTAGGAAGGCAACAGCGCCTCAAGTATTTTTACAAACATATTCAAACGCTCATCTCGCCAGAGGGATCGCGACTATACGCCTGAAGAACGAAAGCGAAACATTGGCGCGTGGTTAGAGTGAGATGTAGGGTGATCATGCTATCCTGCTTTCAACCTAAATGATAGAATTGTCCCACTCCGGTAAATTCTGACTGACCAAACGCGTGGATTTTATATAGCGCACCGTAGCACCCCTCGCTACTGAAAAATATATGCCTACTCTGAAGAACCGAAGGAACGTGCTATCTGAGAATAATTAGTAGAAAAAGTTATTAACTTCTTTAAATAAATGTTTTTTAATTAATAAAACTATACAGGATACGTCATGCAATTGGGACGGGTTATCTTGAATTTGGTAAGAGATAGGAAAAAGCTGTTCATGTAAAAGTTCAATAGTATGATAATGTTTATTTTTCTATGACTTCATTTTTATTTAAATAGAATTGCATTTCTTTCTTTACTCGTATCAACTCCTTGGAAAATTCTGGATAAAAAAGTAGTATTAGAACCAATAAATGCATGGGCCTCGGCACCTTCTCTCCTTCTCTCCCCTTGCTACTATTCCCTCTCACTATTACCTATCACCTATATCTAACAGTACAATGTTTAAAAAACTACTCATATTTTTCATAAGTACCATTCAACTTTCACATCAATAGCTTTTTTCTATCTCTTACCAAAATTAAGATATAACTCGTCCCAATTATGCGACGCTTGTATTACCAGAAACCTATAGTACCTTTGTTTTTCGAAACTAATAAAAAATACAAAGGAGTGTTAGTCAATATTCTGAGTGAATACTAATAATTTAAATAAATAAATATCTCATATACAACTTATGTAAACATTTGCAAAATTATTGCAAAGAAGAGGTATATTCTTCTCTTGTTATACCTCCTCTTTGAGCGAGGTTTGTTATGGGGCGCTGTGAAAAATCCAGGCGGGCGTCAGTCAAAACTTAGCGAAAAGGGACGATCTCAACATTCAGAATGAGAGAAGGACAGTATGACTATAGTGCGTCTCACTCAGCGTTCGGGCGTTGTTGCCTTTTTCGCTTGCCTTCGCTGACACAGTCGAGTGACGTAACTTAGCTAACGCCTGATTTTGGCTACGATTCCAAATCAACAGCCTTCTTAGTTAGACGCCATCTTATAACTACTAGCTGAACTGAATTTGTCACGTGACTTGCTCTGTATTATCCACAAAATGGCGGAACTGGTCTGTGGGAATGCTTTTCGGGACTACACTTTTCGTCCTTATTTAGCAACAAATGAAGACAAAGTAGATCTTAATTTGCAGGTAAGGGTTGTGGCTAGACCGCTGCACTCATGATTTCAAACACAGCACTCTTTTAGTGGTCTAAAAATGCTTCGATTCTGCGACTACATTTTGTCAATTTTTTCCTCCACTTTGGACGCTTATATTACTAAACATCAACATAATCCTACTAAAACATGAGTGCAGCGGTGTGCATTGGACCTTCCTCTTTCGAATAAGCCCTCACTGAGCCCCAAATGTTCTCATATAAGGACGAAAAGTGTAGTCCCGTAAACCCCTGTTTAGGCCCATTTTTGCCGGTAATGTCAACGCGCTACTATTACCCGTGTCTACCCCCTTAAGAAAGTCTTAAGCTCTTATGAATTCATAGTCGAATGAGTCCGCCGTATTTGTAGAAAACGAGTTCTTATTTGGCTTCATTGAGGTTATGTTTTTAAGTCGACGATATTGAGGACTTAAGCACGCATTTGAAGGTGGTATTGTGCAGTGTTGAACAATTTATTTTGATTAATTGTGGTTTGATTAAGTACATAAAATAATTTTTAACAAAAAACAAATCCGACTTCGAAATGCACTAAAAAGTGTCAAATAATTTCTATTTCATTTATACCAATATTCCATAGCTATTAATAATATCTACTTAATCGTTAAATAGGATACCAAATACATTTCAAAGTTTTCGGAGGCGGCGCAAAATTAAAAACTTTTCCTCTACTAAGAAGATCCTAACTCGGACGTCGGCAACCTATGATAAATCACCCATTTGATAATTTCAAGTAAATAATATTCAACGGGAATCAACAAACCCATTGCGAATTAACTATACTGCAGTTCACGAGTGACCGCACTTAACTCGCGCAGCTAGTGACCTACTGTGGTCTAGGGAGATTTTTAATAGTACGTGTGATTCCCCTTTACAGCTTGCTTCTTACTTTGCGTTCACATCATTTTTTTCTTGCGACAAATAATAGGAATTTCATTGTATCGTGAAACTTTACAATATCATCACCGGTTATCAATTATCGTATGTCATATATTTCTGCCCGCCATTTATATGGTCGCAAAGTATAATAAGAAGCAAGCTGTAGAGGGGAAAAACACACGTTATTAAAAATCTCTCTAGACCTAGTGAGCGGCGCGAGTTCAGTATGGTCTCTTGTGAACTGCAGTATAGTGCATGTACATCAGGAGGGCTGCTAATTTCTCATACAATCGTTACAATTACAAATGTTTTCAGCCGGACCTATAATTTTTCTCTTACGACTTATTAATTACCAAGTTTGCCATACCGCAATCAAATCGTTATTGGCAGCATCGTTTGTTCGAGTATTTTTAATTTTGCGCCGCCTTCGAAAACTTTGAAATGTATTTAGTATCCTATTTAACGATTAAGTAGATATTATTAATAGCTATGGAATATTGGTATAAATGAAATAGAAATTATTTGACACTTTTTAGTGCATTTCGAAGTTTGATTTGTTTTTTGTTAAAAATGATTTTATATCACACTTTTTAGTGGAACCTGTAATATTTTTAGGATAATGTAAGGTGATTTTGGGTTTCTGTTACTTAGCTAATAACCATAAACCTAAAAAATATTGACCAAATTTAAATGGTTAATAAACAACAAATTCCATAAATTTTTGCAAGTGGGGTCATCGCGGATATACAGAGTGTCACGCGACTACCTCTACAGCCGAAGAGGGATGATTGCTAAGGTGATTCTAAACAACTTTTTCCTTTTCCAAAATGTTGGTTAAGGCTTGTTTTTCTAGTTATTAACAAAAAACACCGACCAATCCGAGCGCGTACAGCGCGCGGGCTCAGGGACTGCAATGTCGGCTATGAAAACCGGACCTGACGTAGGTCGCAAACGAACGGCTCGGTACCCCGTTGGCATAGCACAATAAAAAATTGGACGGGTAGAACATTTTTAGTCGTTGTTTAAAATGAATACGGAACTTAATCTCTTGTCGCCTATCATAATGTAAAAAATGAAATTCTAAGCATTCTAAACAACAAATGAAAATGATTGAAATGGAATAATTAATAAACGTTTGAATTGGAAGCCACGTTAATGATGAAAAATTTGAAAACAATATAAATGAAACTTTCGCATTCGTTCGTAAATTAACCTACTACGCTGAAAGCACATAATTGTCACTGGGAATCGAGGAAACACGTTCGGTAGAACAGCAATTTTCATGATCGGGCCAGTGAACTCCCCTCATTTATTGCACTTAGGTGTGAATAATAGGCGAGGTGTTTGCTCATTGAATGTCCAGAATCAACACAGTGATCTAGTGGGAATTATTTGCTTTCAGCGTACCAAGTTAATTTAGAAACGAATGGATAAGTTTCATTTAAATTGTTTTCAAATTTTACATCATTAGTGTAGCCTTTAATTCAAACGTTTATTAATTATACCACTTCAAACATTTTTATTTGTTGTTTAAAATCCTTAGAATTTCCTTTTTTACATTATGACAGGCAATAAGAGATTAGGTTCCATATTCATTCTAAACAGCGACTAAAAATGTTCTACCAGTTCAATTTTTTTATTGTGCTATGCCAACGGTGTGCCAAGCCGTTCGTTCGCGACCAACGTCAGGCCCGGTTTTCGTACCCGACACTGCAATCCCTGGGACTGCGCTCTATCCGCGCTCGGATTGGTCGGTGTTTTTTGTTATTAACTCGCAAACCAAGCCTTAACCAACAATTTGGCAAAGGAAAAAGTTGTTTAGAATCCCCTTAGCAATCATCCCTCTACGGCTGTCGAGGTAGTCGCCTGACACCCTGTAATTCCTACCAAATATGAAAGGTTTCATCGCGAACGATACATTCCTTGCAGAGTAACATGAAGGCGTAGATTTTTTGCTATAATAGTAGTCATTAACAAATTCAATAAATTTTTGCAAGTGAGATCATCGCGGATATACCTCCTACTGAATGTGAAAGTTTTCATCACAATCGATACATTCCCTGCAGCATAAACGCCAGAAGACATAAATGAAGTATTACGCTTTTTGCGACATAAGTCGTTAGGAATGAAAAAATACAAACATTTTTTTGCGAGACCAATCGGGAGACATACTCTACAAGATGCAAAATGTTTCGTTCCGATTGGTCCATCCATCTTGGAGTAATCGGCGAACATACATTTAGAAGAAATAGTCGTTAGGAATGAAAAAATGCAAAATATTTTTTTTAATGGACCAATGAGGAGTTACACTCTACAGGACGCAAAAAGTTTCGTTCCGATTGGTTCATCCGTCTCTGAGTAATCGGCGAACGTACGTCGCACGTACATGACATAGTACGTTTTTTTGCAATAAAAAGCGTTCGGTTTGAAAAAATGCAAAATGTTTTTTTAACGGGACCAATCGGGAGACATACTCTACCAGATGCAAAAGGTTTCGTTCCGATTGGTCCATCCGTCTCGGCGTAATCGGTGAACATACATAAAAAAAAAAAAAAAAAAAATACATACACATCGAATTGAGTATCCTCCTCCTTTTCGAAGTCGGATAAAAATGGATATCGAGGATATCGATGACATCGAGGACATTGAGGACATTGATAATAATTTGAATGAACATCCAGGAATTTCAAGGTGATGCAGCTGTTAATTTGTTTGCGGTATTATGCTACTGCAAGTTTTCAAGTAAGTCATATAAATTATATCAGTATCACTACTCCTAAAAGAAGTAGAAAAAAATAAAGATTATCTATATATGTACTTTAATTATAGCTTATTCTGGGAGACATTATGAATGTCTCTTAGCCCACAGTCTCCTGCATTGTATTCAGGGTGAGTTTACTAATAGGCAGTCTGATGACAGAGTATATAAAATTTCCCAGGGATCCGGACAATTCCACTCAAAATCGCCAGTTATTCAATAATCTGGGACAGGGAAACGGAGCTATTGGTTTACCAGGTGTGGATGGCGCTATTTATTGCACCCGCATTAGATTAACAGCATCCAGGTTCAACAACATGGAAGAAATGTACAGAAATAGAAAAGGATATTTTTCATTGAATGTTCAGGTATGTCATTAAGTTATTTATTTTACCCAATATTCATTGAAATGAACCATATTAATATTTTACTCGACTGATTGATGCACAAATTGACATTAAATTATTCGATCGACACAGGTACAATGAAATCCAGATCAGGACCCGATAGATAGTAGAAAGAACGTTCGGTGTTTGGAAGCACCGTTTCCCATGTCTTACAAGGGGTTTAATAACGAAGTTCTTATGTTCCATAACAACGGTAGTTGCATGTGCTGTGTTGCATAATTTAGCCCTAATTTTCAATGACATTCGTGTAGAAGAAGATGAAATTGAAAACCAAAATGCAGATGGAGACGAATTATTAGGAAACGTGGAAAATGTTAATGGCATTGATGGATTTGCTACACGTGAAGCACTCATTGCTTGTATGTTTCATTGAGTAATTGTCTCAAATGAAATGTAATAAGGGGTTTTTTATGCCGCAAGCCTTGTTCCCCTTATTGTGTCTATCGAGCCAATAAATAATCATTATTCTTTCGGCTCAAATTGGTTTAATTTATTGATTAAAATACCCTCATCCTCAGTCATCTCACAACCTATACCTTGATCCACAGGATTTTTGCAATATCTTTTATACACATGCATATACATATACTGCTAATTTATTAATGATCTTCAATAATCGATAAGTTTGTTACAACTACTTTTAATTCATTTTTAATGATTTAGAATTCTCAGTTTTATTATAAATATTTAAAAATTTAATTTTATATTTAATATTGTTTAGGATTCATAATCAATACAAAGAATTACATTTAAATTTTTTATTAAAACAATTTCAGTCGTAAGTTTAATTTTGTGTTATTTTGTGTTCATATTTCAGAATGAAACTTTAAATATAAGAGATTTTTTATAACGTATGTGATAATATTAATAATAAAATTGTTACTTTTTTAATTGAATTGATTTTTTCTTAATAAATTTGGCTCTGTCTATCGCGCGCTCAATTATTTGAATTGTTACGTTGCACGTGCGACGGCGCAACGTAAAAGGAAAGATAAAAATTGGAGGATATAGGGTGGTTAAATTTCAATTAATTGGTTGGAATTCAACCCCTAATTCCTGCTTTTCTATTTTAGCGCGATGGTTGGTATCGCTGCCACCAGTCTCGAGCGTGTTAACGCTCTCGACAAATTAAAAGACGAAAGACAAATTGATAAGATGTTAAGAAGTTATAATTATTAGCCTTTCGTTGGGTTCGTTCAACGCTTGGTCCCGTACGGGTGCCTCCTTGAATCTGTATGAGTTGGTAGGCATGTTTGGCTGAAATGTGTGAGGTGTGTTTGAAATAAATTGAAACTGTTTAACTAAATGAAACTGGTTTAATTGTGAATGAAAATCAGATAATTGGTAACTGTGAAATGCCAAAATTGAGAGTGTAATAATTTAGAAATTCCATTAATAGAGAAGATACCAGTTTTGCAAAAATTGTGAACAAATGTAAAGATGCTTAAAATTAATTAACAAAATATGATTGTATAAACGCTCTAATATCACAACTGAAACCGACGAGTATATTACCGGACACGTAAAAATGATTATCACAATTTCGCTTTCCAAATTTAACTATAAAATTGGCGGTTTCCGCCCGCGGTACACCCCAGCCTGAAAAATTCTCGTAACTCTCAAAAGAGCTGGACTAAGGTACCCTTTTGATGACGGGAAAGAGAAATTGGAATTTCGAGATTGTAATAAACGAAAAATTAATACTGAAATCAGTTGATACCTGGTACGGTGGAACGATCTGACCTAAGAAATTCTCGTAACCCCGAAGGGCTGGACCAGATCGCCCGTTTTGCCAATTGATAAACGTCATGATCGAAAAATGTAATTGAAACGACTTACCGTTACGCTGTTTAATACAATACAAGATTATAATTTTCGCTTGCTAAGATTCTGTGTATTCGCTTGATGATCTGGAACACCAAAGAAACGGTAAGATGTCGATCACTGCACTTGTCGCGGCGGAAACGAATTAAAGCGGACGAGTACGTCGACGAGAGACAAACGAATAACAAAAATAATTAATTACGAATATGATCAATATATATCATTTACGCGGAATGAAGTTAATACGAGAACTGCGCGAGCAAAAGATTTAAAATCAGAAAGAAAAGATAGAATTTTAGGTAGAAGGAAGATTTTAACGTGCGCGTCTGTGAGTCCTTATTCAGAATTCCGATTATTTTAACTACCACGGCACTCTGCCTCGCTACGCGGAGGACTTTATTGCAGAGAAAATATCGCGAACTTCCGAATAACTCTGTCTCTCGGACACACGGGCTCCCGATCACGTACTTACGATTGATCGATCAAGAGTGACAAATTTTGTGCGCGATCGATGGTCGAAGGGCCCGTCGCGCGAACATCGTCCTTGGAGGGGACGGTTTGGCGAATCGTAGTCCGTTTTCGGAAGTGTCGCGTGCCCGGTGATTGGCTAAGACGCGCGGGCTAGACGAAGATCTCTCACCCCTTTCTTTGGTGTTCCTTTCTTTTCTACTTCGTCGCCATGATAGTTTCAACGGTTTTCAGAAACTACGCAGTATTTCTCTTTATATGTATAATTAATTAATTGCATTTAATCGAGATATAACTATTGATTTGATTGAATTGTAGAATGAAATTTGAATTTGAAATATTCAGGTTTTGATAAAGGAAACCGTCATCCGTATATCGTGATCAAAATTATTCATTTTCCTGATTTGCAATAAAGATAGTCTGATTTATTATGTTTAAAAGCGGACAATGCGCTTACGGTGGTTGTAATGCCGTGGCGAATTATGCATTTTACAACAATCTATCGCATATTAAAACTATCGCCTTGATGAATTCGGCATTTCGCATTCTATGAATTTTAAACAATTCTAAATCTGGCGAACGTTCCTTCGAGAACGTTCCTTTGTTCAAAATTTGCCGTTATCGCTAGGCAGTTCTTAGAATTTCGATACAATAGTGTTTATTGCTTCGTACGACCCTTGATTTTCGAACGGCGGTCGAACGTTCGCGACGTTCGCTTTCGTAAGGGTTCTCAATTCTTACTTTCATTGTCTAAATTCATTTTCATCCATCCACTCTCTCATACTATAGTTACAATCAGGTAAAGATGGTCCTTGTTGGACCGGCTGACACTTTGTGCAGCAGAGTGAGAAAGAGGTTTCTAACAAAAGAGTTATTACGATTTTCCCGTTTCTACGCAGTTAACAAGGGAAATTCCCGGAATGCGAAGCACTGGCTAACTGCGTAGCTCTGGTGTTATTGCTACGGCTCTCTCTCTCTCTCTCGAGCTAACCAGAGTTTTTGTACGTATTACTGTCTTATGTTACAATGGCTGGCGACGATAGTTTCAAGGAGGGTCACGTAAACTATTGAAAAGTAGAAAATAGAAACGGCCTTTCCTCGTGTACCTCGCATGGGAAATTCTCGTAACCCTCGAAAGAGCTTGACAAGATACACGATTCCTGGGTAGAGCAGGTAAAGAGGAGAAAGCAATAGAGGAAGTCAAAAATAGAAAAGAATTAAACTCAAAGTCTTCCTTGCACATCGCCGCATGAGGAATCCTCGTAACCTCGAAAGGCTTGACAAGAATGTACAAGGTCGAGGAGGAATGGAAAGATTGGCGGAAAACCGAAACACCCGCCTGTGCGCCCCTTACATGAGAAATTCTCGTAACCCAAAAGGGCTTGATAAGGGACGCAAGGCGGATAAATTTCAAATTTTCCGTCGGGACGTAACAGAATTAATTCCAACGATAGCGTTAAAATTCAATTCAAAAAGCGCGTCACTAACAAATAATGCTACATTTTCAAAAATCATTTTGATTGGTTGTTACAGTAGAGAATCGACGGAAATAGCCGAACGTCAAATAAGCACTGCTTAAGCATGGACTTCACTAAGCAAAGCTTAAGCATCGCTTCCTTAACTAAGTCGGTCTTATTCGCCGACTGTGAATACATAGCGACTTAAGCATTGCTTATTCGAATAAGACGATCTTAGTCAAGACCATCTTAAGTCCTTGCTCAAGTTGCGACTCTGAATACGGCCCTAAGACTCAAAATTTTGCGAAAAATGTTTTACCATGTGAGTGTAATTTCCTGCATTACAGACACCGCGTAGAATAAGGTTATGTTATGCGTAGATTCAAACCCCCAGCGGAACCGTCCGCCATATTACTTTTGTTTTTCTATTACGCGACTCCCGCGAGGACTCGCAGCGACTCGCGAGACAAAAGAAGCTCGAACGCGGGCCGATCACGGGTGGACGCATTTTCCTGGTGGATTACGCAAATATGCATGAAATGCCGAGCGCGAACTTCTTTTCACTCCTTAAGGGGGTAGACACGGGTAATAGCAGCACGTTGACATTACCGGCAAAAATGGGCCTATTAATGGGTTTACGGGAATCGGTTATTTGTCCTTATATGAGAACACATAGGGCTGGGTGAGGGCACATTCGAAAGAAGAAGCTCCAATGCAGGGCGGTCAACTCATGGTTCAACGAGATTGTGTCGATATTTAATAACATGAGTGTCCAAAGTAGAGGAAAACTCGAGAAAATACACCCGCAGAATCCAAGTAAATTTTAGGTCACTATAAGAGTTTTGTGATTCAAACGATGAGTTGAGCTCCCTGCATTGAACCTTCCTCTTCCGAATGAGCCCTTATTCAGCTCAAAATCTTCTCATATAAGGACGAATAACCGATTCCCGCGAAAGCATTCCCACAGACGAGTTCCGCCATTATCTGGATAATACAGAGCAAGTCACATGACAAATTTAGTTCAGCTAGTAGTTACAAGGTGGCGACAAACTAAAAAGGCTGCCGATCTAGAATCGTAGCCAGAATCAAGCGTCAGCTTGATTACGTCACTCGAACTGTGCTGCGAACACTGATATGTATACTATGGATACGATATTCCTATAAGCCAGCTGTACAGCGGTTGAAGCGAATTGAAGGAGACTTTACTCGCCAACGCCACCACCGTTCGACCGATGTATTAAAGGAAATAGCCAATCAGTAGTAAGATTTTGAGTACCGCCACCGACGAGAAACTGTCGAAAGACGAGACAGTATCTCGACGAGGGTACCGTGGGTGATCGCGGGGTGAGGGGAAGTAAAGTACACCGGTCGAACGATGGTAGCGCATCACACCAAAATCACCTTCAAATCGCTTCAAGCATCTCCAATCCATAGTATATACATATATCAGTGGCTGCGAAGGCAAGCAAAAAAGGCAACAATGCCCGAACGCTGAGTGAGACACTCTACAGTCATGCTGTCCTTCTCTCATTCTGAATGTTGAGATCGTCCCTTTTCGCTAAGTTTTGATTGCCGCCCACCTGGATTTTTCACAGCGCCCCATAA